TTAGTGACACCTCATGGCCCCCGGACAGTGGGAAACAGTTGAACTCCATCCACTCTCCCTGAGGCTATTTCAGGTCCAGTTTGGGAGTCTTTGGTTTGACCTAATTAGATTTCTCTTGAGTCTTGTGAAGCCAGCTCCTCATGGAGAGCAGACGCTTCACCTGACTTTGATGGGGCATCCACGTCATTAGTGACTGGACACCCTGCGCCCTGTTCGAGGGTCTCTGGGAACCTCTTTTCCCTGCAGGTAACATATGTGATACCTGATCTCCCTCATTTGAAAGTCAGTGTTTCTTTAGGAAATGCAGTATCCATACTTATAGTTATTTATTTTTGAAGATTTGATTTTTGGAGAGAGAGAGGGAACACACATGCACAAGCAGGGGGTGAAGGCAGAGGGAGAAGGAGAGAAGATCCCAAGCAGACTCCCCGCTGAGCATGGAGAACGATGTGGGGCTCGATCTTATGACCCTGAGATCATGACCTGAGCCAGAATTAAGAGTTGGACAGCTAACCCACTGAGCCACCCAGGTGCCCCCACACTTACATTTAAAGAGAAATTAAAAACACTTCCAACACTAAAGTCCGTTCCATCCCAGGGTTTCCTGTTCAGGATGGCTGCCCAGAACCTGAGAAGACAAGCAAATGCTGTCTGCTCAGCTTGCCCCCGAGAGCAGTACGGACGAGAGACCAAGGCCCCCGAGGAGAAGGGTGGATCGAGCGGCACAGGGCCCTCTTCATTCTGCAGGAGGACAGGAGGGACCAGACACTTGGGGGGCATCCCCCAGGGAGCAGAGGACCTGTTGGCTAAGGGGAAGGTTTTAATCACACAGGAATGCAGCCTGTTGAGTGACAAGATTAGGCACTTAATCTAAGGATGCAGCAAATTGCTTTATTTATAATGAGTGCTGTATCGCTGTTGTTGAATAATAAATCTCATCTGTATTTAGAAGTATTTTTAAATCAACATTTATAAGAGTTTTCTTGTGTTTTCCCTGAAATTAATATGGAAAAGTAAGTGGATTCTTATATAGGCCGGCTCTTGCATATTTAGGCTGATGGAAATGAACATTGGCACAAATATTATGAAGAAACCATAATTGCTTGAAACACGTTTAGACACCGGGAGTCACAGACATGATTTCAGAATCGGGACACATTGGGGCAATGACACTCTGGGTCCCGGGTCACGGGGACTGACCCTCTTTACATATCTTGAGTGTTTTATGTTTTGTCATTTACAGGAAGCTCTTATTTCTTTACCATGAAAATTCCATTACGTTTGACACACATCATCTTGATTGTGTTTGTTTTGCTTGTGGACATTTTGCTTATTGAAAATGTGTTATTCATAAGGATATATTTTATATTCGTGGAAGAGCAACTGCATCGGGTCTTAGAAAAATCTTTTTATTTGGACAGAAATTAGTCAGTGGATTTCCCAGGGCGACGTGTGCTTTCTGCACGCGCCGTGGGCTCATTACTCAGGAGATGGGAGCAGGTGGGGTGAGGCTGGAGGTCCTGTCTGTCTTCAGGCCTCCCCCTGGCCCCCGGGGCCCCTTCAAGGAGTAGACGGCGGACGCTGTGTTGCTACAGTAGAGCAGACTGCACCGGGCGCGGGCTGAGGGTGCTGACCATCGCTTCGCCATGATGCCCCACCAACCCCAGCGGGGATGGCGAGGTTGTGTGACCGTGTCATTGACCTCCAGTCACTGGCAACAGAGTGATTCACTTTAAATGTCAAGCTTTCGCTCTCATCTCTGAGCCTCAGCAGGAATTTACACCAGGAGGGATTTTACACTGGCGGGAAGATGTCACCAGTTCTTCCTGGAAGACACTGGGAACCGTATGGGGCATCCTGATTTTAAATGTTGACGCATGAAAATGTGCACCCACGATGAATAAAAATGTCAGCTAAATTGTATTGAATTAATTCCTTCTCCAGTAATCCTTATTTTGTACTAAGTGAAGGATACGACATGGAGGTCAGCCTCAAAGCAAGGTGTGGAACCAGGACACGTGACCAGAATCTCCAGCTGATGGAACAATCTATCCAGAAGTGTTCTCGGTCCCAGGTTGTACTCTCCTCCAGCATTAAATAGGGAGATACAGAAAAACGCATTGTAAGCCACCTTTGGCTTCCTCTGTTGAAACAGAGGTTACCCATTTTAAACATAACAATGGGATGGTTTTCTCTCCAGCACCTGCTGGGCGCCAGGCCCTGGGGAGGTCTGGGGACAGAAAGGGTTATCAGGTAAGGTCCCTGTTCTCAGGCACTTTGCAGTGTGGTGGGGAGAGAGGAGTGAGTCCGTGGGGAGTCTGCAGTGGGGAGGAGCTCAGACCCTCCTGGACCCCGAGGGCAGGAGGCTGGAAGGGGTGCTCCAGGCACAGGGGCAGCTTGGTTGCTGTTGTCCTCTGTCCCACAGAGGAAGCTGTGGATGTTTACTCCAGTTCCTGGAGACCTCCTGTTTTCCTGAATCCCCAACAACCCTGGAGATTGTTTTATTCTCATTGTTGTCGACATGCTAGAAAACACCATCTTTGCCCTGTTTTGCTGCGTGGCTCTTCGATCGCTAGTGACCGGAGCGAACACACTCGTCACTGTTGACAGGTACTTGATGCGCCTGTCGGATCTCAGTCCGGGAAACACCAAGTCAGTTTATTGACAGTAGCTTCACTGGTGAAGGTGGCGGCGAACCCCTCCCCTCCTCCGTGTTTTGGGTGTTAATCATCATCGCCTCTTATATGTGTAACGCTGGCTCTCAGGTACTTGTGGGAACAAGACCACAAACGTTGCCTGGTGGGATCTCACCCGTTACCCCGCTCCTGCCTGCCCAGTGGTGGAATGGAGGCCCCACCCTTGTTTGGGGTGGAGGCTTCCAGAGGGGCCTGGGGGACGGAGATGGGGAGCAGAGCACCTGCTGCTGTGGGTCCGGAGGGCTGGCCTCTGCCTCCCCAAGGCCACCGAGGCCCCCGCCGCCTGGGCCTCGCCTTCTCTCCCACCTGTGGGCTGCCCGCACGTGCTTGTCCCTACCTGGGAACCCGTCTCGGTCTGAGTCAGACCTTCCCTTGATGGGATAATACTTCATGGCTTCCTCACAAGAAGACCCTATTAGTCAAGACAGTTTTTGTTGCAAGTGGCAAACCCCACCCAAAGCCCCGAGACCTGGCAGGGAGGGGGCAAGTACAGAGACCGGATGTCCTGGCTCAGGGGGACGCCCGCTGGTTTCACAAAGGGCCTCTCTCTCCCTGCGCCGCCGCCCTGCAGACGTGCTGGCCCACCTGGCCCAGGGGGAGCACAGTGCTGGTCCCCAGGAGCTTCTGCACAGCTGGTACCAGACCTTGGGGCCACGTGCCCACTCTCGAGCCTCCCAGAGACCTGCCAGAGCAAGGGAGGGGAGTCCCTGGAGGAGGGGAGCAGGGAAGCGGGGCAGGTCCAACACACCTGCTGTAAGACAAGGCTCGGGGACGAAGCTGGGGGAGATTCTCGGCAGCTGGGTGCCAACGCCAAGAGAAGGGAGGATGGTCGCCTTTGTTCCCAGAGTTTCCATTTTTATTTAACAGACACTCCTAGAACAGTGCCTATGTGCCAGGTGTGTTCAGAGCACTTACAGACACTAACCTTCTTAATCCTCGTTACAACCACAACATGCAACCATGCGGTATCAGTATTTCCTCTCTTTTATAGAAAAAGAAGCTGAAGCACAGCGAGGTTAAGTGACTTGTCCAAGGTCACACAGCCAATAAATAAGAGCCAAGCCAGAGCATACTCCCAACCAGTCTGCCCCAGAGCGCACAGCTTTAGCAGCTGCCTGCTCTGCTCTTCAGAAGAAGAGTGCACAGTGGGAAGAAGACCTACTGCTTGGTCCTCCGGGAACGGGGGAGGCCTGGGGAGACGTGCTGCAGAGAAGGATGCAGGCCAGAGAGAGGCCGCGGGGAGCGGCGGGCCGCCCAGAGCCGCGTCTGGGCCTGTCCCCTTGTGCGCGTGGCCCGGGAGCTCTCGCGGTGCTGGTCATAACGGAGGAAAGCACAGACCAGGTCGATGGTCAGGGCCAGGAGCCTGGTGGCGCTCGTGGGAGTAACTGAGGTGCAGGGCGCGCGCTCTGGCCATGACGGCACGTCAGACGGCGCTCTGGGGGCCGCGTGAAGCCACCGCCAGGGTCCCTGGCTACCAGACCAAAGCAAGACGCAGAGCAGTGTGCGGAGCAAGGCGTCACGGGGCTGCGGGGTGGTGCGGACATGCCGAGGGGCGTGGGGACGCCGAGGGAGGGCTGCAGGCGGGCCTTTACGCTTTCGGGTGGGCCTTTTGCAGTTGCATTCCCCGTCACACTAATGAGGTACAACTGATTAAACAAATAGGAAGAAACTAAACCGTATCTACTCTATGCCCTTAAAATTTAAACTTAAAAGGAATGTGCACCCTGGTGCTGCTGGTAGGGCTCCATCACCGAGCAGGGGGGAGGCCGGGGGGTCAGCCCAGCCCAGCACGTGGCACCCAACCCCTCCTCTGTGGACTTGGGGCACCGCGTGGGCATCGGCATCGATCTCTGCCCCCAAAAGGGCCCGTTTTCGCACCAGGGCTGCCCTGCCTGGCTTCCAGGCGGCCAAGGTTGGAATTCAAGGAAGGCAGGTTCGGTGTCAGCTCCTTCCCGTGCATCCATCCACCTGCAACCCAAACAGGGACAGGGCGGGCGGGCATGCTCCCGGAACACATGCATGATGATTAGCTGACATGTTTTATCCCAGGTGTACTCAGTTCTTTTGAATGAAAATACATACCCTGGCGCAAGAGAATGCTTAGAGCCCAAGCAGAAAAAAGAGGCGGGAATTCAGAATCCTCTGCAGAAAACCCACCCTGAACTCAGAGACTCTCACAGCTGGACGATGAGCAGGGGAGTGGGATTATCTGCCGCAAAATTTATAAGAAGAAAAATGTATTACAACTATCTCGTTGATAAAGCAAGCATCTTAAGAGAGGGTCTTGTTCTGTTTTGTTTCCAGGACGGAGAAACCAGCGCAGGAGAGTCTGACAGGAAGAGGGACGTCCGCCGGCTCTCCCGGGAGACCTCGGAGGACAGCGAGGTGTTCGGTATGTGACAGGAAACCAGAGGGCGGGGCTCCACGTGTGCAGATACACGCATTTGGGGAAGGTTTTAAGTTTTTAATCACATGAGTAATCTATGAATCTGTTCTCAGTATTGAAAATGCAGAGTCCGTAGGAATGTGGGGTGAGTCCCCTTGGTCAGCCTCCGCCGTCCATCCTCCCCGACGTGACCGCACAGGTGGCCGGCGGCAGCTGTCCCGTCTCGCTCTGGTTCTCGTGCTCTGTGCCGTCTTGCTTGCAGGCTCCAGAGACTTCCCAGGTGCAGCCCTGCCGTGCCGTATTTCTCTACTTATCTATTTGACCATTGTGGGTGGAAAACCTAATGACGCCTATAAAACAGAACTAACAGGGAAGTGGGACTGTCCCAAAGCCCAGGTATTTCAACCACAAAGAATGACTCAGGAGGTACAATTGATTAAACAGGAAGAAACTAAACCATATCTACTCTATGCCCTTAAAATTTAAACTTAAAAGGAATGTGCACCCTGGTGCTGCTGGTAGGGCTCCATCACAGAGAAAAATAACCGTTTTCTATAAAAGTTTACTTTTTTGTGGAGCCCGCTGACATACACGACTTCCCTGCATTTCTGTGCTCCCCCAAGAGAATGAATGAACGAGTTCTCATTTGATTTTAACGTTAAAAAAGATCACCTTTCCCATGTGACCACGATGCTCCATGACTTGCTCACGATCACGCGGCTGAGCGAGACACGGTGAAGATCTGTCTGAGTGCCCTGCTCTGTTCTCTCCTCCAAGAATTCCCGGAGACGCAGGAATGATGGGGCAGCATGAAGTGTGCCCAGTCCCTGAGGGTTCACTGGCATGTCGGAGGGAAAGGGAGCGGTTTTCTGGCTACTGAAGTGAGTGTCCCGTGGATGGCGTCGTGTGCCTGCAGGTTATGATGCTCACGGCAGACAGGCCTCCTCACCACGCTCTCTGGCCCAGCCGCGGCTTTACTTACACAGAACGGGTTTCCTAGTGCTTTCGCTTCTCCAGCAGGAAAAGCCACCCCGCTGTCTTGTTCCTGATTTGCTTGCTCGTTTTCAGAACTCCCTTCTGTTTCTGTGATTCCGTCCTGAGTAAACACCTGTAATGACAGAAGTACCACTGCCCGCTCTCTCAGTATCTTAAACTGTCATGAAAATCGGCATGACCCAGAGGTGCAGAGACTGAAGACAATGCAGATGAGTTTAATGCAAAGCAGTGGGGCCAGTGCGAGTAGGAATCGGCACTTGCCCGGTTACACCGGCTGCACGCTGATGTCCCCGGGGACTGGGTGGGGAGGGGTTTGCCAGAGCGCTGTCCGCTGCCTCCGCATAGCAGGGCCTCCATTCCTCAGGGGCAGAGCTACCAGAGGGGAGAAGAGAGCAGCACGCGAGGGTGGGCGCTGCTGCAGGCGTTCTGAATGCAGAGGGAAGGCAGTCTGCAGATTTGAATTGGGCATCTGAGTGCCGATGGTTTCGAGAGTAAATCCGTCTGCGAACCTCTAAAATAAAGCTTTCTCTGGACTCCTCTCTGGTCCCGTATTCCAACTCCATATGTATATTAAACACATAAAACGACAGAATAAAAATGTCCAATTTTAGGTTTCCTTTATGACAAGAGAACCTTTTAGAAGGATTTTGGCTAAGCTTACGTGCGTGGTTCTGGGCTCAGCAAGCCTGACTAGTACAGACCGGGGATTCCTGCAGAGCTGCCGGGCGTCTGCTTGTGAACTTACGATAATCTCCCACTCCTGATGCTTTCCTGGAATCCAGAGAAACCCCGGCCTAAAGGGGCAAAGTGACGAGGGAAAAAGAAGCTAAACAGATCTCGGCTGTCAATCTTGACTGCATAATCTTAGAAAATATATCTGAGCATTCTTTTTAAATTATGAAATGTTGTACAAATGTCACTCCAAATGAAATCAGCAGCTGCCTCCCACTTTTCCTGACTAGACAGAAGTTCCCTGAGTACCACAAAAAAAACCCATGCTTTCTTGATGTTCTATGAACCCTGAGTCATCGGCACCCGTGTAGCGATAATCTTCAAGCTCCTGGTAATCATGTTGTCTGCGTGTCAGACGATTGGCCCTTGTCCTCTACCTGAGACATTTCTGCAGGATCTAGTCCTCAAGGTCTCTGTGAATGTCAGGAAAGACCGTTGTCCTTCCGCTGGTTGGAGTCCTGGCTTAGGGGCTGGTTGGACAGAATTAGAGGGGCTCAGAGAGGTCACAGCCAGGGGCAGAGTATGGCAGGTGCCCTGAGCTGCTGGCTCACACGCTTCAGGCTCAGAAGCACAGAGTACACAGCTACAACCAACCAGGCTTCCCCCATACCTCCGTGAAGGCCGGAGCTGATCGTGTACTTAGCAATGCACTGGAGACTTGTATTTACTTTTTCATTTCATGGGAAAATCCCAGTGAAGGATTGTTCTTGATCTAAGCGAATCACTCATTAGAGCACAGTTCTAAATCTCTTCCTATAATGTTTTTTCTGACAGTGTGTGGTACTTAGGGCTGTTTGCCTGGTTACCCAAAGAGGAAGAAAACATGGTAGCCTAGAGAACCACGTGTTGTCTGAGCTTTGCGGAACCAGGTCATTTTGTGGTCGGCCAGTTTTTGAGCTTTTTTTTTTTTTTTTTTTTTTTTTTGCACCGTGCACCCACACATGTGTTGTACACGATCTTCGTCATTTGAAAAGCAGTCAGCAAGGAAGGCAGAATGGTCATCCCCACACCTCCCTCCAGAGTCCACTGGCCATAAAACCAGGGCAGGTGAGGCAGCCGAGGTGAGCAGAAGCCTGGGGTCTCCCTAAATTACAGTGACAAAGGAGCAAAATCCCCCAAAAGAGGGCACCCCTGCTCTTTCCAGACAAGTGTGGCTCCTTCCAGCCCGGACCCACATCTCCAAAGTCAGAGCAAAAGGAATGAGTACCCAGCACATCAGGTGAGCTCGAGCACAGCTTTGCAGGATCCCAGGGTCGTGAGAACATCGCCTCCCTGCCTCAGTGCATAACGGCGCCCATGGCTAAGTGAGGGACGCACTGCACGTAGGGACAGAGTCCTATGGAGCATCACGGGAAGAACCTTCACCAGCTCAGTGCTCAAATAATGGAGATAGAATTATCTATGTTTAATGTTCAGCAGGAAAGTACTCATATTGGAAACACTGAAGTTTATACAAGGATAATCTATTAAGGATAAATACGTGTGTAGGTGTGTGTCTTTATTTCACAAAGCTTGAGTTAGCTCACAGTAAGAAAACACAGAAACAATAAAATATAGAAAACATAAAGTCGAGGTCGAGTCACGTAAGACCACGCATGTGAACCATATGGCACCTGCCAGTAGTTGAACACAGCATTGAACCTGCCCCAGGAAGACGAGGCCCAGTCCATTTATTTCTCATTTTACGTAGGAGGTAATGCAGCTGCACCACGTTAGCTGTCATTTCCGCCCGTGCACGCATCTTCTTGTGTCTTGGTTCCCTCCCAGGTAAGCAGGGGAGAGAAGAGAACCCCCCAGAGCGAACGAGCAAGCTCACAAACGTGCACCTGTAGGGTGCCCCTGTCCCCTACGGGGACCGACAGAAGGGGGTCTGTGTGCATTCCTCAAAGGCAGCCCAGCTGTGTTTAGCCAGTTGTGAGAACTTTTCTCCGGTTTCAGTTTGTATCACAGATGATCGCGTGGTAGTCAACAACTACAGGGAACTTCCGTGGTAGCTGCGCTGATGAGTTTCATAGGCAAAGTGTAATAACTGGACAATGAGCTTCCTCACACCTCGGCGCTCTGTTTGAGGCACGTGTCCCGCTTTTGGCCTCGCCTTGGCGGTGTCCTGCGTGGCTCGTGCACTCCCTTCCTCCAGGGACTGTAAGGGACGCCCCTGTGGATGGGGAGGACCTGCCAGAACGTGTGCAGCTGGGGGTAATGCTCTACCACATCTGGAAAACACTCTCTCCCACAGACAGATATATCCCCTGAGAAGTTTCACACAGCACTGAAAAAAAAACATTCCTTTTTTTGTTTCCAAGACCCTTCCATGAGAAGATCTTTTTGAGATGCTATTTCAAGTAATATTTGTATTTGATCAACCCTGATTATTGGACTAAGCTACAAAACTAGTAAGAAACAGTCATGATGATACAAAATTCTATCTCAACTCAGTAATAACTGAAGGCCAGGATTCCACCCTCGCTTTTCCTGTGGACCCTCGTTAACTGTCCCTCCAGGTGCCCTCCAAGAATGGTTATCGGCAGCCTGCTCTTGAGAATCGTGGGTGCTGGCTTTAATTTATTGCTAATGATGGTTTGATTGCTGCCTGAGCCTGTTACCTATATCTAGGCCAGCAACAGAATCAATATCGAGCGTGTCTTTGGGGCAGATATAAATCATACAGTCACAAGCCACAGGCTGAGAACTTGAAGGAACGTTCGACGTCGTCCGGTCTGACCCCCATCATAGAGATGAGCATCTGCCGGCCAGGAGAGAGGCCCACAGGCCTCGGGGACGAGACCGTAGCTCCTGCTCTTGGCCCTGCCCTGAGCACCCCAGGACACATCGGCTTGTCCCCAGCGGCCCTTGGAGAACAGAAGCAGCTTTCATTTCTGTGGCTGACAGATGTTAAAACAGCTACACAACAGGAAACATATTACTCTGTGCGTTTGCCTGACTGTGGTACTTTGTATCTTTCAAACCCACACCTGCGAGGGTTTGCGTGGCCTCGTTGTAGTTCCCAGTCAGCCCCTGGGGGGCGCCCCTCTTTGCATTCTGGGAGCTTTCCTATGTCTAGCCAACAGCTGCTCCCGGCAGGTGCGGGGGCCAGTGACTGAGGGCCCCTGTGGTGAGTGTGGCTGCCCTGAGCCATGGGACGTCTGGTTGTATGTGACTGTGGGGCAGCCCCCCCTACGAGCTGCTGGACGAACGTCCCGGCCTCTAGTTACACCGAGTATCTCAGCGTATGGACTCCAGGCCTCTGGCAAGACATGCAGCCTCCAGTGTCCCGTGCAAGTGGGGGTCCTAACAGCTGACCTCTCAGTTGTTGTGAGGAATGCACAGCATCAAGAAAAGTTGTCCCGGGCGGAGCTTCTCGGGGAGGAGGCAGTGGCCGTGTGCACGGCCACCCACGGTCTGCCTCCGGGGCGCGCCTGTCCCCGAATGTCTGGCCTCCCCAGCGACACCCATCCCGCCTCGAATAGTCTGCACACGTACATAATATTTAATTGTATGTGTAGTATTTGAATGTTAGATGTGCGCATCGTGTGCTGCTCTGAGGCTCGTTGTCCAGACACATCGTCTGAGGAGGGTAATGGGAGAGGTGATAACGGCCGGTGCCCGGCGACGACTGACGCGTTCGGCAGGACCCGGAACCCCTGTCCTCGGCCACGTGGGCAGCTGGGAGGGGTGCTGGTGCTCCTCTGCGGGCAGTGCTGGTCTCTAATGTCCCTGGGACCCTAGCAAGCTTGTCTAGCTCCTGGAATAGGCACTTACCCACTGACCTGCGGGCCACCGTGGTCCACCATCGGCACTCACCTGCATGATTCCTGGGGCCCCACCTGGCCCCTGCTTCCGTCCGGACCCCCGGCCTCACGCCCGCCTCCTCGAAGAGCACGCACCCCTCCCTGCCCAGAGCCCCACCACCCTTGCCACAGTCGGTGGGCCCCTGTGGGCCCTGGGGGCCTCCGACTGCACCTCCGACACTGCCCTTCCTCCCCCACCCACCCTGCTCTCTGTTCCTGGAGCACAGGGCCTTTGCACGGGCTGTGTCCTCCCTCTGGAACACTCTTCCCCAGACATCTGGGCAGCAAGCCCCCACCCCTTCCCGTCTGGGCCCAAGTGTCTCCTTCTCAGGGATGTCTCCTCTGACCAGCTACTTAGCAAAGAGCTGCATTAGGACGGGTGGGCTTGCCCCCCTACCAGACAAACACCAGAATCTCAGAGCTCCATGTCCTGCCTCTACCCGTGTCAGAGCCCAGCAAGGTCAGGCAGCTGTGCCCCAGCAGTGACCCAGAGAGCCAGGCCGCTGCCGCTGGGGGGCAGGGGGCAGCCAGAGGGTGACATATCTTGCAGGGAGACAGCATCCATCACTTCCACTTAGGCTGCCTGGGCCAGAAGTGGTCCTGCGACCCCAGCATACAGGCCTGTCTCACGGCCCTGTCTGGCCAGGGAGGGGAACCAGGATAGGGAGACGCTGCCTCCCGCGGCCGGGGTTTGGCTCACCGCGCACTGCGTTGTCTGTCTCCCTGGTGCCCATGGGAGGGGAGCTCCCCGTGGCCAACTGTCTCCTTGTGGAGCATTTGGTGACAATGCAGTGAACCGAGGGACCCAGTCACCCTGCTGCCCTGCCCGCTCCTCTCTCTAAGGCAGACTTGCAAACCGCTGTATTCTGAGAACAGTGGCACCCAGACAACTCATCCTAAACCTGAGCTGTTTACTGCTGAGAAGCTCAGCCTCGGGGCCGCTGCTGAGTGAGTGATGTGCATGAGCATCGTGCATCAGAACATGTGTGTGCATGTGCTCATGCGTGCCCATGGGCGCGTGTGCATGGGCATGGTGCCTGTACACAGGCCTGTGTGGGTAAGTGTTCTTCCCACCGGCAAAATATCTCTGAAACTCTGCAAGTTGTTTTTGTTCTTTGAAATTAGGAATTGCTAAGACTACTTTCATTCCAGCGTTTTCATAAAAATGGTCTGTCCGTAGATATGGTTTGTAGTTTTTCCATATAAATTCCCCATAACGGTGAAACCCTGGGCCACGCAGCTCTGGTGGGGAGTGGCGGCTCCGGGTGAAGGAGCTCGGTCCCACCTTCTGGTGTGTCGTGCGGAGACGGGCGCCCCCACTGCCTGCGAGGAGGGGCGGGGCCCCAGCGACACGGGTGCGGGGTGCCGTGCTGGGCATGTCCTTGCCCTCATGGCAGGCCCTGCTGGCCTCTCCGCTCCCCGAGGCCTCGCCGGCCCATCACAGCAGGGCTAGCGTTGGCGGCTTCTTAACAGCCTTCTGACTTCAGGAAGTGGAGTGTGCCATCTTTCACATTCTAGAGCCGGGGGAGGTTTCTGCCCGGTGGGCATGGGCTCACGCCGTTCCCAGCACCTCCCCGCGCGGTCTGCAGGTGAGGTCAGGTGACAGGGGCGGGGGACGTGCTGCGCCGGGAGGGAGGCCGGGGGGCGGGGGTGCAGGCACCTGCGGTGGCTGAGTGTGTGCCGGAGGGCGGCTCTGGGTCTGGCAGAGGCTCGCTCCAGGAGGGAACTTGCTGGGCATCCGGAGGCACAGGGGCCTGACGGTGGCCCCCCCATGCTCTTAGCCCACTGGGCCTGGCCTTCACCATAAAATGGGCGGCTAGGAGTCACTTGAGGCCATCCAGGCCACAATAGGACGACTGAGAGACTTCCAGAACAAAAGGGGAACACAGACCTTACAAATAGCAGCTGTGATGGGTTTCAGCCAGGGGCCCGCGGTGGGTCCCAGCTTGAGGCCCGGGGACGCATGACCCTCCTGGCGCCTCTCCGTGGACCCCTTCCTCTGACTCGCGGCTGTGTGCCTGACGAACGAGCATGTTCGGCTCCGTCAGTAAAAGTTACCGTTTCCCACTCGGCCTCACACCCAGCCTGAACTTGCAGGCTGAACCCCGGAGCTGCAGGACAGCGGTGGACCGTCCCCTCCGGAAGCCTCCGCCCCCGCGAATGCGCCCAGGGGCCTGGGGCCTGAGGACGGGACCCGCTGGTGGGCAGAGCGGCGCTCACGCGCCCCTCTCCATCACCCTCTCGTACGCCTCTCCCACTGAGGGAGGGGCTGTGTGTCTCTGCCATGAGCCCGTGCAGGGTGAGCCTCCCCGCTTCCTCACCTCCACCAAGGGCGTTACTGTCGATGCTTTTTAAACTGAAGAAATGACGTGTTTAGAAAGGAAAATAAAAGAGCACACTAGGCTCTGGGTTTAGCAGCGCTGCTGGCCAAATGTGGCCAGACTCACAGCTGTCCCTGCCCGTCACGCCGACTGACCCCGCTCCTGTCCATACCGTGGCCGTGACTGAGTCCCGCTTTGCAGTTGCATTCTGCCCGGTTTTCTCCTTGGAGCTGCGATGTGTGTTGTGCCAGGAAGGCTGTTAGTGGTCCTCAGTCCTTGCTGTTCATCCCGCAGCTCCCTGGCTCGCAGCCACTAAAGGGTCACGTGAAAGGAGGTCCTTGTTCAGCCCAGGCTTTCTGCTCTGAGTGGAGTGTCGCTGCTGGGCCCCCCAAGCCTCCCCGTACACACCCAGATCCAGAGAAGCCATCCTACATCTGTCTGGCAGGTGATCGCCTGTACCAGTGATGCTGGGGGCAGGCGGCTGCTCATCGAGGTGATGAACGCGGCGGGGTGCCGGGAAGTTTGAGCTTGTGGCCCGGGAGGTCGGAGGCTGTTAGAGTTGGCGTGTTCTTCGCCAGCAAGTGAAGTCCAGGTAGTTCAGGCACATCCTAACTGGAATGTATTGTTAGATGGACTTGGTGCATTCAGACCATTTTTATTTCAGGACTTTCCAAATTACATAAAGTGTACCTAGGAAGGCACTCCTGCCTTTCTCCCTGTCTCTCTAACACCAAGGGGGGCTTACCCATGCCTCTAGCTGAAACCTTTTTTAATTTCAATTACTTCAAAAAACCACGTTTTAATGTTCAATTTCTTTTTCCCGGGATCTTTAAGAGCCGAAGACATGAGCAGGTGTTACAGCCAGCGGTCCCATATCTGGAACGTGATGCTGTATCAGAGTACGGCCCGCCACAGGTGGAGAGAGAGGGCTCCGGGACACCTCTGTGAGCTGAACACAGCAGGGACTCCCTGAATGCTCTGTGATCTCGGGGGGATCTTAGGAGAAGATTTGTCCTTTCTGGAAGTGGATGCAGCCCCAACCACAGCGGCGTGGAATTTGATGCACACACTCCTTCCCACGTGCACGGACACACGCACACGTGCTCACACTCACGCACGGAGGGAGGGAGGGCAGGGCTCCCCCGAGCCACCCCAGCTGGTTCGGAGGCCGTGGGCGGAGGTCGGTCTGTCTGTGCGCAGGCACGGCGGGCGGGCCGGGGGCACCTCGCGGCTCCGGACGCGAAGAGGGAGCCCCGCCTGGCCGTGTGCTGGAGCGTGTGGGTGGAGGTCTTCTGGCAGCTTCCCTGCAGGCCCCCGTTGGCCTGGACGGAAGACTGCAGTGCTTCCGTATTTCAGTGCGGTCCGGATGCCAGTGCCCTGAGGGCCTGCAGAGCGGAGCGCGGTATTATTGTCCCGGCACCCTGGGCTGGGAAAGGAGAGCAGGAGGTTTACCCTGCGGGACATGGGCGGCCCCCCGGCCCCGCGTTTCCCTCCTGCCCAGCAGGTTCTGGTCTTGGCTTCTCCCCTACGTAGGAACCCACCTCATTATGCAGGGATGCTGCTCAGCCCCCCAAGTCATTCTTCCTCATTTTCATCAAAATTGAACGAGAGAAGTGAATATCTGTGATCGTGTGGGGGTGAGGAGTTGGCCGGGGGAATGGGGGGAAGCCTGAGAACAAAGAAAATCGGGGAACCGGAGACTGCCCTGTAGGTCGGGGGGCGGAGGCCAAGGGCTCAGACGTTAGGCACACAGTCATGTCTTAGGCACACACTCCTTGGCTTCCAGTAAATGGTCCTTAAAGTTGAGACGCCTGTGGGATGATCAGCAGCACTTCGGCTCACTCAAGGAACTGTCTCTCTGAGATACTGCACAAACGCGGCGTAAATTCTTCAAAGGTGGGAACTTCTAAGCCACCGACACAGACACTTCACTGAGCAGTGGGTTCAGCTGGGGTCCAGTCACGGAGTGTGCGGGGAAGGGCCCGGTAGCTCGCTCTCGGCTCCGGCAAAGCTTATAAAGGGGGAAAGTACGTACTTTGACATTCAAAATATAAGTAGAATGCTATTTTTGTGCTTCAGAACCCTAGTTTATTTTCAAAAATGTGAGTTTTCGAGTCTTTATTTTTGCCACTGCTTCTCTCTTCAGCAAGATTCTCGAGCCGGGAGAGGTATGTTCTTTGCCAGCTATGCCCCGATGAAGCAGCTGTTTGCAAGTCTGGAAACGCTGCTTCCGTGGGGCAGTAGGGCTCGGGGAGATGTAGCTTCTCCAAGGCAAGAGAAGACAAGAATGCGGGTAGAATTGCTCAATGAGAACACGTGGGTTTTGTCGTTGCTGCAGTTACCCTGTTTAGGACATCAGCAGTGACAACGTCCACACTCGGCAAAACCCAAAAGAGTACTTGTTTCTGTGGCTACAGGAGCGGGCATCCCCCAGGGAGGCGAAGGTGGTCGGGGGTTCCGCAGTGACATCTGCATGGGACCAGAAGTGACGGGGTGCAGAGGCGGGACTGGACAACAGCAGTGACCCTTTCCTGACGGCGAACACATCTGAGCTCCGACATCCTCAAATGGGCAAAATACTCCTTTCAAACCATCTGGCATAATTTCCAGGCCCCACTGGAGCTACCTCCCCTACTCAGAGCCTACACTTGCAGGAACTTCAAAGACAGAAAATAGACCAGTGTTTTCTTCCTTCGGGTTTGAATGGGGACCAGACTAGGACGCTCTCCATTCTGCATCTCATGTGAGTGCAGGGGGACAGCAGTGGACCAAACAGTGCACACTCCTGGACATTGCTTTTCAACCAGCTTCCGATCGTGACTCTTGCTTAATAAGTGGGTGTTTTCTGCCTTGACCTCCTTGGGCCTCACTACTGGCACCTGTAAGATGCAGACTGTCATACCTGCAGGGCAGCGATCTGGGGGGGGAGGAAGTCAGTAACACAGTGGTCTCGGCTTGAGGACACTGGCTTGTCCTGCCTCCCCGCTTCCTCCGGTCATTGGGCCCCTTTTTGTTCCACTGCAGCCCCCTCAGCCGGAGGTCATAAACACATTCGCTGCAGCATGCTCCTGCCTTTCCCCCACCGGCAGGTCATCCCCGGAATGCTCCGGAGGCAGGAGCACACAGCACTCTTAACAGCTGGAGGACCGACCCCACCTAATGGGGGAGCCTAGAGGACCACTTCTCACCTGCTGCTTGCCGAGTGCACCAGTCCCTGCAAAAGGGGATTTTCAGTGGAAGGAGCGTGTTTCCAAGTGGAGACAGAGGAGTTCAAAGCAGAGAAGCCAGAAGAGACACCTGCTACACTTAGATCTTTAATTCTCAAACCGACAGCATCCTTCTTGCTGGCACTGTTTGGTGGTCGCATTTTAGAAAATTAATTATTAGAGTTCTAGCTTTTTAGTTGTTTTCAGTAGCCCTGTGATTATAATTTTTGCTCAGAATCTTCTGACCAGTAACAGATCTAATTATTTCATTGCATGACACCCAGAGATGTTCTGGTAGATATGTAATCACCAGCTAATTTGCTGGCGTTTAGAATTAAATACTCAACATGTTTTAACTTCTTTCAATTGCCTTGAAAATCTGAGCATATGCCCTTTTGTCTTCTGATTTCTTTTCTGTTTTGTTGAAAAGTTATATTGAAGCGATACCACAGTAAAATGGAGACCTCCTTAATTGCTTTCACTTTCAACGGATTTATGAAGATATAATTTACATACCATAAAGTTCACCAGTTTTAATTGGGCAAATTAATGCTTTTGGTATATTCACGGAGTTGTGCCAGGTCCACTGTAATCTAATTTCGAACCTTGTTGTCACCCCAGGGGAAACAACTGCCACGGGCAGCTCCCCATCCTCCCCGCCGTGCCCAGCCCCTGAAACCACGAATCCTCTCTGTCTGTGGCTTTGCTGACTTGACACTTGTGGCCTTTGTCACCGGCTTCTCTCACTTAGCACAGTGCCTTTAAGGTCTGTCCAAGTGGGGGCGACGGTCAGCGCTCCGCTCCTTCTTTTGGTCAGCCCCTGATTCGTTGGTCCGCTCCCGGGCTGGTGGAGGTGTGGGATGCTCGCTCGCCCAGCTGTCGTGAACTCTGCCGAGGCGGCTCTTCACGGTCTCCGTGGGTGCAGGTGCTCCGCTCTCCGGCCGTACGCCCACCGACCGTGGCTTTATTTTGTTCGTATGTTGAGCTCCAGAGGGCAGCGCTGTCTGTGCACACAATCATTTTTATTCTACCATTTGCGTGTGGGTGTTTATCAAACCCCATTCCACTACCCAGGGGAAAAGTGCATTTAGTGTCTGATTCCCTTCATCGCTGGAGATGTCAGGCTCGCAGGCAGCTGAGGAATATTTTGTGGCATCAGAGATTTCTTCTCCCACCTCCAGGAATTGTGGTCATCATTGGATGATTACCTTCAAGTTCAGCTCCTCTAAGCCGATGCTTACCGACACTGAAAACGTCCCCCCACATCCTCCAGAGCTGCCCCTCCCTGCACCCAAGGAACAAGACCGTCATTCAAAATCTCTGGGGACCGTGATCTGTCGCATGCCCCCAGCACGTTGAGAGGGGCTGTGCACCCCAGACTCTCAGTTCAGCGGGGACGGCTGCTGTTGGGAGAGCTCAGAGGCAGCGCTTTGCCACGGGATCCTCACAGGCTCTGAACTCTGCGCCTCTGGGCCCGTCCTGAGTCCTGCCCTCACCTCCAGTAAACGGTCCCGCTCTGTTTTGTGGGGGAGAGTGGGCCAGGGGTCTGAGGCACTCCAGTGAAATTGGGTATTTTGCTCCTACAGCAGTAAGTTTCCATGTCTGCGAATGTCCCAAAATAGGATGACAGCCTCGGCAGGAAACATCTCGGACGCTCCCGGGACGGGAAGTAGCTGCAGGCCTTCAGGTCGCCACTAGGAACGTGGTGAAATATTTAACAGATCAACACGGACAGAAATGAGTATCTGTAGCTAACTTGCAGTTTGGCCCAGCCACTTGAATGTGTGGATTATTGCGTATCTTGTACCTGTAGCTAATAGTTTGCATTAATGAAATGCTCCCCTCCGGGTGTTTTCACAACACACACGTCCAGTCCGCTCACAGGCTTGCCCCCGAGCCGTGCTTCCACCGTCGGCTGAATTTTCGAGCAGCACTTAAACCCAGTCCTGAGAGGCGGCGGGCTTGCTAGTGGCCTGTGAGAGCCCAGCAACGGCTTCCTCCTCCTTCGTCCTGTGTGTGGCCCACTCGCTGACCAGTTAAGCCATTTCACTATCAATTGGCGCTTTTTCTAATAGAAAAAAAAAGAAATGAAATGAATTCATGATAGTGATTTCAACTCTGAAAATACCTTGGCTACAGAAGGTAGAAATACTGAGCACTGCAGGACTCTGTCATTGTCCACGTACATTAGTGACCCCAGCCCTCCTGACTCCCACAAGAACCCAGGTGCTTTTCAGAACATACATCCCAGGCCGGTGGAGCCACAGGTGTTTCTGTGAGGTCATCGGTCACGCACATGTCTCTGCTGGGGGCTGCCTCCCGCATCGATGACCCGCTTAGTCCGGCACTGACCAGGTCAGCAATCGGTTGTCTCTTCGGTGGGCTGTCACGTTTTCATGGAGGCTGGGCCATGGCCTGTCCATTCGCTGTGCTCAGGCTACTTTGGGTCCCCTTGTCATCAGTGTTCTCCAGGATGTAATGTTCCTTTTCCAATGGGAAGGAAGAAGTGGACTGACTCCAGGCATGTGAGTTGATTACTTAGAAGAGAAAGCCTCAATCGTGGTACGTGAAGATCAGAGACACCCATTTATCAGTGTATCTGGATGTATCTCGTATAACGGGCAGTCTTCCATCACACACACGCCGTACACACACATGTGCACACAATACAACAACACAGAAATCTACCACCATTCTAAGAATTGTCTTTAGGGAGACAGACATGTCCATTTCCTAGAAGTAAATTTATTTGAACAGAAAAAACATATAGCTGTTGTTTAACAAATGCTTTTTTCCCCGCTACGAGTTGAATTTAATTTGATTTCCAACCTGTCAGATGTGATTTTGTCTGTTCCCAGAGCAGATAATTTCTGGGTGCCTTAGAGGTAAGTGTGGAGCGCCTCCACCGGGAGGCCAGTGCAGGGGGGACACCATTGTGGCGAGACGCTCTCTGGGACTGTTCGAACCCCAGGGCTAGCCTCCGAGAGAAGGATCCGTAAGGCCGGGGGCAGGGGTGGCTTCTGAACTGAGCTTGCGGGCCTCAGCAGGGAGCGGGGAGACGAGGGCAGAGTTGGGCAGGACAGGGTCTCTCTGCCCCTTGCAGAACCACCGCACGAGAATTTTGCAGGCCGAGCTGGGAGTGCGGTCTTGGTGTGTTGGTGGGTGAGCGCCAAGGGCCCCGAGCACGGTGGGGACTGAGAGATCATGCCGTGGGGGAAATGGGTATGGTGGTGGCACATCCAGGCTGAGGCTGCTGGGGTGCTGCCGAAGTGGGGGCCGCAGGCCTGCAGAGGGGAGGCAGGAGGGCTGTGACGGCAGGATCGGTTCTCAGCTCTGCAAATTCACCTTTCCAAACATTTCCCCACGTTGTCCTCGGGCCACACAGTGCCACCCTGGGGTCCTTCCCTATCCTCTGTGCTGCATTCACCAGCCACCCCGGTCAGTCTGCGTGGCCCCGGGTCCTGCAGCAGAACAGGCTTCCTGCCCCGAGTCATCGAGTTAGTGCCCTGAACGCTCTGTCGCTTGGACACGAACCCGGTGGCGTACCAAGCCCAGCTGCCGCGGGCAGATCAGCCCAGGCCACCAGCATCCAGAGCGGGGATTCACATCCTGGTGAGGGTGGTTTGCACGGCCAAGAGAGAGAGAGCGTAGGTGACCAGAGACAGAGACCGAGGCCAGGGCTGCACGTGACGCAGGTGGGCCAGAGCCTGTAGCGGGAGTCCGGGTCAGCGAAGGTCAGGCGGAGTGGCTGAGGCGAGACAGGGAGGCCTTGAAAGCTGAGCAGGTCGCTGTGGTGTGAACTCCTGGGGGTATGAATGGCATCCGTTAAGACAGTGTTTGAGGCAGATGTGAACAGATCAGCTTCGATGCGTTTCATATCCCTCCTCCCTCGGCGCTGGGCCCACGTGGCACGCAGAGGGGAAAGTAACACGCTCCCATCACGACACCGTGAAATTGTCGGTCCATTACAAGGCACAGAGTATTTGGGGAGATTAAAAGCTTTGTCTCCGATAAATTCTAAGGATGACGCTGCATGCGCCACGTTTGGGCTTGCGTGGACGTACAGACAGAGGGGACTTCACAGCCCACCTCCGTCCTGCTGTGAGTGACGCCAGCCTTGGGTGGTCAACACCTGGCAGTGACAGCGCCTGGCAGATGGCATCTCACAACCGGGGACCCGTTAGATGCTCTTAGATGCTCAGGGACCAGTAACCAGGACCCCTGAGATTACCCAAGACTGGTGGGAAATGTCACCACATTGGCTCTGTGATGAAGATTTAAAACGTTATGTTAGCTTCAAGGGGACTGATTTCCCTTGGAGAACTTCGTAACACACACCCACGTATGAATATAGATGTGAGCTTATTTTCTTGATGTGGAAATGCTGACTTCCTACTTATGATAATTTCCTTATGAAATTTGTTCAAGGTCCATGTAACAAAACATAAAAATAGATTATCACAAGTACCCATTATGGTTGATATAGAATTTTCATAAATAAATCTTTAAAAGTATCTACTTCTACTGGATGTGCAGACGGGATATTTTCGGTTTCTTCGGTTGGATACCCTATGAAATTAAATGGTGCGTTGGTGGTACAGTGGTGAGCATAGCTGCCTTCCTATGAAATGAAATGGTTATCTGACTATAGGATCGTGATAAATGGTCTTGAAATGATTTTCAAAAAAGAAAATAAACCCCCCAAAACTATATTAGTATGCACTTTACTCAAATAGCACATATCTAAGAATAGTTAAAGCAGCAGGTGAGTTGACGAGAGTTCACCTGAGGCCGTTTTTATAAATCTCCTAGAATGTCTTTTTTCTCGCCATTTATCTAGTGTCACATCACCTTTTCTTGCTCTGAATAATCATGTTTTATTGCCTGAGTTTTTTAGAGCATTTCACTGCATATTTCTTAACCTGGAGAGTTTTCAAGTTATTTTTATCCCGAAACCCGAGCAGCAGGTAGCACGAGCTGGTACGAGCGAGGTTGGCACGGTGTAGGCACTCTGTGGCTGCCGGGTGGCCGGTGGTGAAAAGCACACATTGTGCGAAGAGCCCCATCTCTGCTGCGCCAGACATTTGACACCATTGTTCCTTGGCTTCCAGGGACAGAAAGTGCTGCAGAACAGATCTGCAACTGTCCCCAAGAAAAGACCTAAAAATAACTCTCTCATTCACCAAACTGTAAATGTATCAATTATTCGTTACACCGTAAACCAGGGATTATGCCTGTCCTGCAAAACAGAGTAAATATTAAAAGGTGTAAGGAGTGATACAAGGATTCCCTGAATACTTACAAAATAGCATTACTGTTTCTGGGGGGGAGAGTCAAACTGGAAATGGTTCAGCTAAGAGAAGGGGCGCCAATCAAAGCAGGTAAATCCTGGGCTCTTGCTTCCTCTTCATCTCATCACAGCAAACCCCACGGCGAGGCGGTCAGATGCCAAGTGTCCGATCTTTTTGGAAGACCAAGGACATGGGTTCTGGAACATGTCTTTGGCTGGAAGGAGGAGAAAGCAGGCCACGTTCTGTACATCTACTCCCTCCTTCCTTTAATTGGGAATAGCCGCGGGTAAAAGGTTGGATACTTACGCATTCAACGAGCAAAGTTTCCAAAAAGATCATGGAAATTGATAGTTATTTCCATTTTATTGCGAATGGGTGTTTCTTCATCTACATATCAGATGGCTCCAGTTTTGACCGTTTTTTAAATAGTGCTGTGATTAGTAGAAACTTCACATCTTTTTACTGGTTTCAAATAGAGAATGTAAGTTCTGCTACTTACTCTCTGGCTTTCTGCAGCCCTTTTGTCGGTAATGCTTCTAAAACAAGCACTCTTGTATCTGCTGATAGTTAACAAACAACTTTCAGAATTGAAAGGGAAGAAGAAACGGAGGATAAGAAAATTATAACATTAAGTTCCTTAAAAAAAAAAAAAAGATTTTATTTATTTATTTAGAGATTGCACGAGCCCAAGGAGGGTCAAAGGGAGAGAGAACCTCAAGCAGACTCCGCACTGAGCGCAGAGCGCGGTGTGGGGCTCGATCTAATGACCCTGAGATCAAGACCTGAGCCGAAAGCACGAGTCGGACGCTCCACCACTGCTCCATCCAGGCGCCCCTGACATTTGGTTCTTTAGGCTGAACAGCACGCACGTGAACGGCGTGCTGGATGCAGACTCACACGTCGCTAGCATTTTATCATTTGCATGTGATTTTGTACAGAAAGCTCCTCAGTGACCAGAGAGGATTCGCCGTGCTGAGAACAGGGGCAGGGAGGTACAGGGGCAGACATGTGAGGCGCAGATGCCACGAGCATCCTCCTAACTCCGAAGTTCTGCTTGGGAACGTGTCACACGCGAGACGTTGATTCCT